CCCGGGGCTCGCGGAGCGGGGACAACCGGCCGGGGGGCGCTCCTCCTGCGTTAACCCTCCCGGTGCCGCTGCAGGTGCGCTTGGCGATAGCCGAAAAGGCTCTCAAGTGCGAAGAGCACGATGTAAACCTGCCGCTGAGCGAGCACAACGAGCCGTGGTTCATGCGCTTAAATTCCTCTGGAGAAGTACCTGTCCTGATCCATGGGGAAAACGTCATCTGCGAGGCAACCCAGATCATCGATTACCTGGAAGCATCGTTTGTGGATGGTAATCCCATAGGCATCTTGGTGTGACATCCTTACCCAGGCATGCTGGGGTCAGCTCTGTGTCGCCGCATGTTGGTTTGTTCAGGACCAGAACATGTTTATGGTCTACAAGTAAATGGGCTCTTCTAAATGGGTGGTGTGGGGTAAAAACATGTTCCTTTAAAACGAACTTAAGGCCTTCCAGCATCTTTAAAAGCAGCTGTAAGTAAAAACCTACGACTCTCCCCTTTACCCCTTCAGGAGGGCTGGACAGGTTAGTCATGGCAGCACTGTGCTGTGCTAACCTTGGGGTGAAACTGCTGCGAAAAATACTGTGTTGAGCAGAGAGCTGCATGACTGCTATTGTCACACAAATCCTGCTACTCTGAGACAAAAAAAAAGAAAAGAAATATGCGTAATTCCAGAATAATCTTGGGTGGAAAAAGGAAGTACAATGAGTAAATTATTTCTGGAGCCAAAATGGAGTGAAGAAGCAAAAAAGTAGGAAGAAAAAATGTGAAACTGATCACATGCAGGCTTTCCACCTTCTTTGTGTCTGTTATTGCCAGAAAACAGACTGCCTCGGTTTTTGAAGGAAATTGAGTTGTATTTATTTAGGTGTAGAAGAGGCAGCATTTTGTGTTTCAGGTGTTTAGTGCTGCAATTTCAAGACATGAGGAAAACTTCATTGTTGGCTGAACATAATATTTATATAATGTTGCCAATTTCATCAAGGGGTCAGGGTTCGGGGGGGATTGAGGGCAAGGTAAAACTTGGTGTGCTGGAGTACTTTTGGTCATGCTTTGAATAGGTTTCCTGTACCATATTTTTTACACCATTGCAGCTGTATTAATATTTCAGCCCTACCAGCTTGTTGCAACTTCACTTGTGCCCTACTGTGGTGCTAAAGTGTTCCATACCACAGTCTTCCATGCCTAGAAGAAGAAAAAAGATGCTCAGTCTGGTTCTCTGATCTGAAGGTCTCTTAAATACGTGTTTACGTTGGTTGCTGCACAGGAGCTGGAATTATTCAAATGTTTTAAAATGAAGTACATGCATATATGTTTGGCTGAGCTGTGATAACCCTGTCAAGTTACGGTGGGTAGAAGTCAAACTTGGACTGTGACTGTGTCCTCTGTACCACTTGGGCACAACCCACGTAACATTGATAATGCTGCTTTTGGTCACTTAGACGGTTCTTTTTCTCTTAACTTTATTGCAGAAAAAGTACCAAGATTGATGCCAGAAGAAGGGAGTATGTATTACCCAAGGGTGCAACACTACAGAGAGCTTTTAGACTCCTTGCCTATGGATGCCTACACACACGGCTGCATCCTGCACCCTGAGTTAACGGTGGACTCCATGATCCCAGCCTACGCTACCAGCAGAATTCGTAGTATGTACTGGTGTAGCTCTGAATGCCTATCAGTTAATAGGATGTTGTATTACATTCATCGTGTGTTTTAAGGAGAATTTATTGAGCACAGATTTCCAGTTTTAGTTGCAGTCCTTAATAATTCATGCATACACTTTTTGTTGATGTTGTAGTCTATTCTGACTTGAAAACGGGAAAGAGGAAGTGTCATTTTTTGAGGCGTCCGTGGAATTAATTTTCCTAATGATTGAAAATGTGATTCTTGTGCATAACAGAAAATGGCAGCTCTAACACAGCTGTATTTTATTTTCTGATCTTGCTGATTATGCTTATAAAGCAATTTCTAGTGGAACAGCTCTACTACTACTCAAATTAAACCACCACACTGAAGGAAACACATTTCTTGTGATTGTGAAGTTGTTAAAGCAATTGCTTTACTCTCAGAGTGGTGCAAATGCAGATTAGTCTAAATGAAACAGAGTGTCTTTAATATAGTATAAGATAATCATCAGGCCTTTTTTGTAGGAGTGTATTAGTGTCAGCTTGGTGCTAGGGGTACAGAGAAAGAAAAGTGTAAAGTAAGTAGCTTGGGTTCATCTGACCAGTCGAAATTGTTAAAGCACAATTGAAATAAAAATCCTGGTTGCAATAATGCAACAGTATAAAATGATGGACTTTTATATCACAAAATCTCAGAACAGTGGGGGTTGGAAGGGTTATGATCTAGTCCAACCTCCCTGCCAAAGCAGGTTCATCCACCTAGATCAGGTTGCACAGGAACATATCCAGGCAAGTTTTGAAAGTGTCCAGAGAAGCAGACTCCACAACCCCTCTGGGCAGCCCTGTTCTAGTGCTCTGTCACCTTCAAAGTAAAGATTTTCCTTATATTTAGGTGAAACTTTCTGTGTTCTAGTATGTGCCCATTGCCCTTTGTCCTGTCACTGGGCACTACTGAATAGAGACTGGCCTCGTCTTCTTGACACCCACATTTAGATATTTGTAAGCACTGATAAGATCCCCTCTCAGTCTTCTCCAGGTGGAACAACCCCAGGTCTTTCAGCGTGTCCTCCTAAGAGAGATGTTCTAGTCCTCTGATCTTCTTTGAAGTCTTCTGTTGGATTCACGAGTAGTTCGCTGTCTCTTTCGAACTGGGGAGCCCAGAACTGGACCCAGTGCTCCAGATGTGGAGTACAGTTTCATACATACTGGTTTCCCATGAAAAAAATATGTTAAGGGCAGAAGAAATAACTGTATGTTATGTTGCCCAGTCCCTTTTCTAGCAGAGAACCTGCTGAAATGAACTCCTGTTTCAAAGCCAATAGTTTGCAGAAATACTTATTTTAAACAACATTCAGCGATATTCAGAAAAATCCTTGGCAAATAATCTTTCCACTCTCATAGCTACTTTTTTTAATCTGGGTTTTTTTTTTCCTGGGTTTAGATGCCAGAGCTGGACAGCAGATTCTGTTCACTTTGGTATCAGACGAGGAGATAAGTTAATTCTTTATTAGTGTTTTTTTCACTGTATGTATGCTCAAGAACTTCAGCATTACTTTCAGCCGTAGAACTGCACTGGGAATCCTGCTTCAGTTAGTCATGGAACATGACCTCAGTCTTAATTTTCAGAACTGCTTGCAAACTTGCAGTCCTCTTGCCAAGAAACATGGCCTGTATCTTTTGCTTCAACTTGTATTTTATATTGGACCTTGCTGGAACACTGATTGGTTGCTTAGGCCCAGTTTATCTACCAGTCAAGACCACTGGGTATTATTCCCATTTTTTTTCTTGGTTTATGTCCCTTCTAGTCTTTGTGCCATGGCAAACTGATTAATGCTTTCATGTTTCCTTCTAAGTATTACGAAAGATCTAAATAGTTCTTTTAAGAAGAATGATGTAATAGGACTAAATAGTTGTAGGACAAGGAACACATCCCATGAACACAACTGGATGGTGATACCCTGTTGACAGTTATGCTCTGAGGTCTCTGGTTTGTTTTCAATGTCAGTGCTTTCTACCATGTTGATTTTTTTGTATGGTATTTTAGAATGCTCTCTAGAACAAAGCCAAATACTGTAAAGACTTTGAAACGTAATGCAACCAAATTATTACGAAACTATTACCAAATTCATAATATCATAAAAAATGATACTGTATTAGTTTGATAAGTTCTATTTCCAACAAACTGTGTTATCTTCTCCTTAAAATTTTAGGCAGGGTGATTCTCTTATTAGCTATGCCATTATGTTGTCAGAAGTTAAGTCAGGCAGGCAGTTTTCCTTACAGTTACATGAATTATCCTTTATAAAACATTAGCATAGGATTAGTTTTATATCTGTCTGCTGGAAACTTCTTGAGCATCACAAAGTACTTAGAAGTCAGTGTTGCTGATCCAATGATGAATAGTTATTTCAAAATAAATTCTTTATAAAAAGTATCTGAAGAGATTAAGAGTGGGTGATGCTTCATTGATGTACCACTTCCCCTTTCTTCAATGTGATACTTGTACACAAGTTATTGATACGTTCCTGTGGATTGTGTTATGGGTGCCTGTGAATTTCTAATGTCATTCCTTTGGGTTTCTGTACCAGGCCAAATAAGTAACACAGAGTCAGAGTTGAAAAAACTTGCAGAAGAAAATCCAGACCTTCGAGATGCCTATATAGCAAAACAGAAGCGCCTTAAGGTAAGAAACCCCTTTGCATTCCTTCCCTTTATTATGAGTTGTTAGTGTCAGATCTTTGTCTGTCATAATGTAAACACTTTATTCACCTGTCATTACCAGTAGTGTCATGCAGTGGTTTAAACCTACAAGGCATGAAGCAGTCTGTCCCCCAGATCAGCTACACACTTCAGGTGTGTGCTGAAATACTGGGCTGGTCCCACTGGCTTCAAAGGTAAGCACACATCAGTGCTGGTGTTGGGCTGTTGAGCATCCTGCAGGGTGAGGCAAAGCTCATTATCTAACACCTCTAATGTTTTTTAACTGTTATCAGAATTGCCACCAGTATCCAAAAGGTATCCAGCTGAATACGTGGAGAAAATAGTCACATTTTATGAATAAGTGCTGTGGTATCTAAGTACATGTTTCTCTAATAAAAGTATAAACTCTGTACAATGATGAAAACACTAACTTGTATCTATTGGTAGTCTAAACTGCTGGATCATGATAATATAAAATACCTAAAGAAAATCCTGGATGAACTGGAAAAAGTTTTGGATCAGGTCGAGACTGAATTGCAGCGGCGAAATGAGGAAACACCAGGTAAGGAATCGTTTGTGCCATGTCCTGTTGATGCTTAGGTGGGGGGAGGCTGAACAGACTGGTTGGTAGCACCACTGCAGGACTGGTTGTACTGTATCCAGTTTGAATCTTTTAGCATATACTGATCTAACTTCACAGGAGGAATCGATACTGTTCTAAATCCTAGTTTAGGTGACTACTGCTGTCAGTGAGGAGAAGTCTTATGACATGAGTGCTTGCTTCTTAGCATAGTGAGTATAATATAAGGAAAATCTCAACTACAGTATGTTATTCTTGGTGTTGTAGCTGTAGGTCTCTTCACTAGAGTGACTGTGACCTTAATGTTTAACACAGGTTTATTAAGATGCTGTTCAAATACTGTTCTGATACTTGTTGTATATGCAGAATTAACAGTCTGAATAAGTGCGCTAATCATTAAGCAGCTCCCTTCCCCTACCCTCTTGAAAAGCAGTAGTGTTTACAAGCTGTCCACTCAAATGAAAGTTGAACTTTGTTTAAATGAGATTATTCTTCTATGTATTCAGAGTCTGGTCTAGCTCCCCGTGGTGCTAATAGGAATCCTTCTTCTGACTTCACTGGGAGCTGCATGAAGCATCTGCCAGTCTGCTTAGACCAATAACTCTTTGCATTTGAGTCTACAAATAGCTGTTCTAATAATTATCTGTTACTATTAAGAGAGTAGATTTGAACCAGGAATTTAAAGTCTAGGTTGAATGTTCTACTGACTCAACAGCAGAAGAGTCACAGAAAATGTTTTACCATCACAAGGTGGTAAAACATTTTGATAGGAAACTTAAGTCTGTCACCGTTTCCAGCAGCCCTTTTGCTTTCTCTGCTGAAGAGCCTTGCCAAAGAGTCAGTTGATACAATATTGATGATCTTGTGAAAACGAACAGGATGACAGGATTTAGTGAAACCCGTGACTGTGACATGCCTCGTGAAATTTTGTCTGAGCTATTTACATTTTTGGTGTTTGTGAAAAATGCTTCTGTCAGGTCCTGGTCAACCTCAGAGCTTCTACTTGTCTTGCTGCTGCTCGAATCCCCTCATTCACTAACTGCTGCTGCCACTGCAGACATCTCTCTTTCACACAGGTTAGCTTCTCTGCTCTACTCCTTCATCATCTTACTTAGTGTACTGGATGAATCCCCAGGTTTTCAGCAACACAGGATAGGCCCATTCTCTGTGGCAGCCTTTCTTCCAGACCTGAGTGACTGGTCAAAATGGGCTGGTACCAGTAGTGTGCCAAATTGTTGCTTTCCTCTGGTGGCAAATGAGTTGACACAGACATTGCAGAACTTCTCTGTTTCCACAGAGGTGTTGCTGAACGTTCATGGCAGCAATTTTGTGTGTCTGATGTGTTGGAAGAACTGCAAAAGGTTACAAATGAGGAGAGAACAGCCTAGTCCTGTTTGAGATCTAGGCTAGAGCAGAGTACTCATGCTGGCTACCAAGTTTCATGTCCTGGGTTTCAAAAGCTCTCGGTGCAGGTCAGTGCAGCTAAGCCTTTTCAGATGGTGGTGGTTCAGATCACTTAAGTTAGAAGTGTGGTGCTGACAGGCAGTGCCTGCTCTGAGCCATCCCAGGAAGATTCACCTCTTTCCTTTGGAGAGGGACCTGGGGTCTCCGTCTGTGCTCCTGACTAATGGTGGTTGGTGTGAATGTCCACCACTTCTCAAACTTCTCAGTGTAGAACCTCCATGGTTTGGGATCTAGGAGGCACAAAGGAAGGATGAGTAGACAAATTCTGTCTTCTCACTGAGCTGATGTGTTTGGTGCAGGCCAGTCATCTGATCCGTTGCTTTTTGAGTTGAAAGTGTCTGGGAAATTAGTAGTTCTTAAGTGAATGTCATAATGCTGAGTGACACAGGCAAGATGGCAAGTTCTTCTGGCAACTGGTAGCTTCTCAGTAAAAGCTAAACTTCCTTCTTCCTTTCCACTCTTTTTTTAATCCAGTTTTGAGTAATGCAGTTGAGGAAACTGTTTACTGTGGATTTTAATTTATGAACTTGAAACGTGGCTTGGTTTTCCTTCACAAATGTAGGGGAGGCTGCTGAGCCTAGGAGCTTGCAGTACTGTCTGAAGAATGGACAGGGATTAGTGAAAAGGTTGTTGGTTAGTCACAGCCTCGCTGCAGCGGTGGTGGTGTTTATTGGACAGCATTTTGAAATAACACTGAACTAAATGTTAGCCCGTCTAGTTTTCCACTTGTATTCCATTAGCTCCTCATTTTGTGTGTTTTATCTCTTAGAGGACGGAAGTCAGCCGTGGCTCTGCGGTGATTTCTTCAGTCTGGCAGATGTGTCACTTGCTGTCACATTGCACCGCCTCAAGTTCCTGGGATTGGCACGAAGAAACTGGGGAAATGGAAAGAGGCCTAACGTGGAAGCCTATTATGAGCGTGTCCTGAAGAGAAAAACATTTTACAAAGTTTTAGGACACGTTAACAATATATTAATCTCAGCTGTCCTGCCAACAGCGTTCCGGGTGGCCAAGAAGAGGGCTCCCACAGCCCTGGGCACGGCCCTGCTGCTGGGCACGCTGGCAGGGGCGGCCTACCTCGCCTCCCTGTGTCTTCGCAAGAGCTTTGCCAACCTGATGCTATCAATTAGAACCAGGCAAAATTATTTTTAGACCCGGCTGTTCCTGGCTGTAAGTGGAGGGCATCTCTGCCTCCCAGGAAAATACCCCAATTAAAATGTAGAAGTAGAAGAAAGGTTATCTCTGTGAACTAGAGCATTGTCACACAGTAATTGTCTTCTGCTGTTGCGTAAGTGGATTGGCAATGCCAAGATATTTGTGGAAAATACATGTTAGGGTGACAACAAAAGGAATCCAGACGAGGACATATAAGGGCTGTGACATGGGTTAGTTAAAGTGATTGCTGTCTCCTTTACCCAGTAGCTGACCTAATTACCATGCTTTTATTTAATAGTTGTGCAGCAATGTGACAACACGTCACTGTGGGTGAAATTGCATTACTCTGCAGAAACCAGCACTGGCCAAATACTGAAAATAGCACCTTAAATGCTTGGAGCAGGATTTAAGTGGAACATAGGCACTGTCCCTGTTGTGTACAAGAGTGAGTAGCTATACTGATTAAGGTCCACTGATTTGCAGTTAGGCCTTTAGGAACGTGTTAAAAAGCAGTCTTGTAGAGCCACTTTTGTCATTATGTTTGTGTAGTACAGGAAGAGACCTGAAACACTTATGAACATCAGTGATTTGTGGGCCACATGAGTGAAATTCTCCTGAGGCATCAGCAGCTGACAGATGCTAGACTTCTGCTAAAATACAAATGGGAGTGAAAAACCTGACACTTGCTTTTTGGAAGCCTTTTGGGTAGCCTTTGACCTAGCCAGGTAGCCAGCTCAGCTGCAAGCCCTGGCTGAGTCAAACCAAACTATCTAGGTTCACATTTCCTGCTTTGATTCTAGCAGCTACTTACAACTTCTGCAGCTTGGGTTGGCTCGATACAGTTGTCTCCATATTAGTGGCCCAGGTGCCCTTTTTTGTTTCCACTCTGAGCACTGGCTGTGTTTTGCATGCTGCTTGGCTATGTTAGCAATTGCATGTGCCTCTATGAAATGGTTGCTCACAATGTGCCACACCTAATGAGAAGATGTATACAAAACAGTGCATTTTATAGAAGTAAATTAAAATAAGTCACTAGCTTTTAATCAAGTTAGGTAGTCTTGATAAAAGGTGGAGCTATAATTTAGCAATCTGCACATTTTAGATCCAGTGCTGGTGGCTGTCGCTCTGGACAATTGCTTTGAGCACCAAGAAGAGCAGCTCTCAGGTTTGGAGGAGAGAGCTGAGGCAGTTTTTGTCTTAGAAGTCTTACTATGTAGCAGATATTAAAATGGATAGAACTGTTGAATCATAGAATGCTTTGGGTTGGAAAGGACCTTAAAGATCATTTAGTTCCAGTCCCTCTATGAATGGGCAGGGACATCTTCCAGTAGGTCAGGTTGCTCAGAGTGCTATCCAACCTGGCCTTGAACTCCTTCTTATTTTTTAATATTTTTCTAGTTGTCTAGCAAAAGAAGACCTAAATCTCAATGCTCTTTTTCAGTAATAAGAAATATCTTACCTTGGAAGCAGTTCTTTTATTTGTCAAAGACAGTTTTATGTAATTTTATTTCATGACCCAGTTATTCTCAAGAACTTGTTGGATTAAATGTGCTCTATTTAAAAAAAAAAAAAACAATTTCATTATCTCTAGGGTAGGTTTAATCCAACAATGATGTTAATGTGCTGGCAGCTTTCATTTGGTTTGTTGTTTGTATATTGCAGTTCATCTGCATTTACTTGTACCTGAAAAATTCCATAAAGTTAATAAATACAGAGAAAAGCCTGTAACTTAATTCTTCCCTGGTATGTATTTCTGACAGGTCATCTGTAAAATATAATACAATCATGTAATGATTTAACTTTCTTTAGAATTAATTTATATTTTACTTTTTATTTCCCCTGTTTTTTTAATGTGTTGTAGATAAGAGCACTCACATTCCCAGAGTTCACTCTAGCAGCCCTGGGTACTGTGTGACACAGGCTAATCACTGATGAAGTAGTTCTACTTCCCTCCAAGCCTCAGTGGTCTCTGCCCTTCAGCTAGCACTTGGTGCCTGCCCGGAGCTGCAGGTACTGCTGGGGAGTGACCACCAGATGTCAGTGCTCCTCCAGGGAGACACTTTGGCCTGCCTCAGATGTGCAGGAAAACACGAGTTTTACCAACAAAACCTGATGTCAGCACAAGATGGATGTGAGCACCCTCATCAGACCAGCAGTCTCAAGAGTTCTTGAAGCAACTGCTTTGGTCTACTACAGATAGGTTCTCTAATCCCTGTCATTTGTACTTGTGTGTAGTTTCTACGCTGGATAAATAAGAGGGCAAAGTTGAAATAATATTTCACATTAAAATGAATGTCACTGAACAGCAATTAAACTGCTCACTTTCACGAATGAACAGGGGTAAAGTTACTGCAGAAGAGTTTGGACCCCTCATTTAGTTCATGCCTGTTCAACTATTGGATACCCTTCTTATTGTCACTGCTCTGAAGTCCTCTGTGTGGCATGGATAGAGGTATCAGCAAAAGGGTTATCCGCTTTTAAATTCTTCAGAATAGGGTGAGACGTAGAAAGACGTATGCTGTATATGGCTCTTTGCACAAGATAGCTCTTGTGTGGTGCTTGTAAAGTTTTTTTTTCAGCCTGCCTTATTATCTTTGCTCTGGTACCTTTGGACACTATTTGGATTAGAAACACAAGCAATCTTCTGGTTTTCGTTTACTGTTTGCTCTCGTCTCACACATCACACATCAGATGGAATTCAGTTAGTGTCTTTGTATGTGGGACCTGTGCAATAAATATTGATTTTAAGACCACCTTCTAGGCTGGTTCTTTCTAAACAAAGCGCGTTTGAGGATGACACAGGATTGCTGTAAGGATTATGATGCTGTTCAAGGAGGGAAGACTCTAGTATTTCAGTTTCAAAGGTGTTCATCAGATTGTCTTGCATGTGTCTGGAAACAACAGTTAACAATTATTGTTTTCTTCGATTGCCTGTCTAAGCTGTATACGTATGAGGCTCAACAGAAGCCTTTTAATAGTGTTAAAAACATGAACTAAAAAACATTAAAGAAGGAGAGCAAGCAGGTTTTGGGTTCAATTAATCCATAAAAAAAGTTTCCCTTCTGAGTGTGATTCTGTTTCTTGGTGCAAATAGTTGAGCTGCAGAGTCTGGGGCTCCTTTCTGTAAGGTGCATGACAAACACAAGCTGTGTCCACACTGATATTGTCATTAATGAGACCAAAGGTTGTGGCCTGACCAGTGTTAGTCTGGCCATAACATTTTTCTTTTCCATCTTGCACTGTAACAGTCTGCCTTGGACGTTCTTTTAAGCAGAGGAAAAGACAACACTACTCGGGGCTTGCCTTCGACAGAGCTGCTAGGGGTAGGCACACAGCTGGTAGGGCTTCACTGAGTTTCAGGGGACTGTAACATGTGGTCTGCGGACCAGCCTCGAGGTGGCCTGGGTGTTAGCATCAACCAGAAACGCAGAGACTTGCTGTGCAAAGCCGTGTCCGCAGGAGAGAGGAGCAGGAGCGATGGGAGGCGAGCACGCCGCGTACCCCCGCGCACTCCTGGCCAAGTGTCAGGTTTTGTGTGTAACGTTTTTAAAGGTACTTTTAAAGTTGTCTTAATTTTACAAGAAACAAACAGTACTAAGGTTTAGAGAGCAGATTATTACGCCCTAATTGTCAAGGATTAGAGCAGTAGACAAAGTAGGTGAAAAGTATCTAGCTAACTGGATCTAGCTGACTGGAGCACACTGGTCTGCACTAAGGTATACAGCATTTTTCTTCATGGAGGCCTCCTTATTAAATCTATCCCTCTGTTCAGCTGATGTTAGACAAAGAGGTGTAAGATGGGCCAAGGAAGCCAAAAGCATGTAGAAAAATCCCAAACAATATGTTGGGGTTTTTTTCCACTCCTTTCCTTAAAAATAAATTCTCAGTTTTGGTGCAGTACCAAGTAAAAAAGTCAGGCACTCAAAACTCAAGAAATTCCAGAAGCCAAAAGTTCTTACAGTACTATTAACTCACTCATACAGTACTCCAGCAGTATTTTTGTTTCTGTTTTTCTTTCTGAGTTACAATCATGGTGCTTCATTCAACGTCAAGTTAAAAATGTTGCACCATAAAATAGTTAACCTGTGGATAACTTAACCTTCGTGTTGTGGGAAGAATCTGTTGGAATCTGCAGAGCTGAAGCCCTAGCTACTTCCATCTTAGCTTTACATCAGCATTTATTTTTACTACAATTTAAAATACCCATCAATAATTGTAGAAAAGTGCATTGTGTAAATAAATACATAATAGCATAAGTCAATATTAACCTACTTTATATTTAACTGTTCAACTATTCAATTCCACTATTTAACTGAAATCAGCAGAGGGAAACACTGTGAAGGAGTATCTGTTGAATTCATGCTTAAGCCAGCTTCCCAATACAGACGTTGAAATTGGACTGCTCTTCAGAAAGGTATTGAGAAAGCATATGCTTTGAACTACATAACGCTCCCCAGACGCTTTGTCACAAGCCTTAGACACCAAACTAGAAGTCTGGATTGCTCTCCAGTAAATGTAGAAGGACCTATTGTTTAGGCTTTCAGGTCTTTTAGTAGAAATAGCTGCAGAGACAAAGAGCTCACAGGAAGTCTGTACCAGACGAGGTCAAATGTTCTTTGTCCAAATCTGGTGCCTCTAGAACTTATGCATCCTTCCATCATGCTGAATTTGAGATTGCTCAAAAACACAGGCAGAAGCCACTAAAAGTTACAGAGGAAACAAAATTAGCCAATGTTGCAGTAATGGAGGTATCAAGATTTCAGTTCCTAACAAAGAGCCAGATTCAGATCTGGTATGAGTCATTGTTACAAAAAAACTAGTGATGCATCTACTTACATCAGATCTGAGTTTGATTTTACAGTCATTATGCCATGAATCATATTTTAAGACATTGCTTTGTAACATTACAATCAACCCATTTGTTACAGATACAATGAAAGCTGCACAATACCTTTCCGAAACCAAAGATATATGCAGAGCTTAATCTTTTGGAAGTC